TAACACATTCATCCTGTAAAAGCCTCATATCCTTTTCCTTGCATACAGACAAATAATGGAACAATTTAAAATTCACATTTTTTGGTTGATATGCTGTTCTAATGTTGTCTTGAGCGTTCTTTTTTTTTTTTTAATTGTTACTTGTGTTTTTGTGTGGTGAACGTGTGATATTTGATCTGATTTAGCTTTTGCCAATGGACAATGTTGTGGAATTGGATGTCAACAACATTGAACAGCTTCACGGTTAAAAATGAAATGTTAATTCTATATATAGTAAATGAGTTTCGGTCTGAGAGAATGTGAGTTTCTCAGTGAGACGTTGGTCAAAGGAGCAAAAAAAGCTGATGTTTTATAGCCGACGGTGCAGGATATGCTCATGGGAATGAGTGGGTGTGAGGAGAAGAAGAAGGGTCACAGTGTAAATGTATGTGTTTCGGTAGAATGCATGTCAGTCTGCATGCAGAAGTCAACCTGTCTGTTCACGTGTTTGTGTTGGGTTGGCAAAGTTCATCTATTGATTGGTTTAATAATGCAGAGGGAGCACCACGAGGACTGCTGAGTCAGACGAAAGACATAAGACTGATGTAAACACAGTTTACAATAATACAATGACTTAACGTTAATAATATTTGTTTCTCTAGTTTTCCTCATAGGAAATCTACTGTCCTGTGAAATCACGTTTTTAGTTGGTTGAACTTAACCAAAACCATATCATCTTTTTTTCCTGTAAAACCAAAATATGTGAGCCCACGTGAGCCAGTGCCGAACAAATTCAACCGAAAAGATTCATCAATCAATCTGCAACCTTTAGGTATTTCACTTAAATCCATCTTCCAACTGTACATTGCTCAAAAATCCCTCAAACTACAGCGGCTAAACATGATCTTACTTCTGTCCCACCGGGACCTTAAGAGAACTGGAAGTGTCTCACTGATGCTGAGATGAATATGAATCACGACCATGATCATGAGATACACTACACAGCAGGCCTGAGCCCATCACCTGTTGCAGAAATAAGCAGATAACAGTTCATAAATGTTTAGGGCCACTGTACTATAATGTGTTATTTCTGTTGTAAGAGTGTGAAACAATTTGTTCACACCTTTTAAATTCCTGCAATACTCTCTTCGCCTCTGTATGTATCCTGTATGGCTGCATTTCTCACTCCAGCAGATGTTTCCTGTTGCACTGTGTGGGAGAAATACGTGTTTTTCTTGGAATATGAGCAACAGATGGAGAGAGCAGAGAAAGCTAAAAGAAAGGTGTGTTGAGAAATAACACAATGAATCATGCCGCCATGTAGAGAGGAGGAGGCATTTTCTAGCTGCCTGTCTGATCCCATGTCCTTATTACTGAAGATACAAAAAGAGCCCATGGTCTCATCGGAGACTTCACAGAGCTGAGACTTTGAGTGGAAATGGAGTTTTGGTAAGGTTATTCTGAGATTTGGGATAAGAACTACTGTAATGTTAATACTTTTACTTTATTTAGGCTTCAGTATCTTACATTAGGATAAACATACAATAAGAGTAATTACATTATATCAATTAAGTACAAAAACAAAGAAAGTCTGTTACGGTGACGAATAGAATAGAAACTGTTTTTGTGTTTTGAACAGTTAGTGAGAGCAGGTTCTGGGCTTAAGCTGCAAGTCAACCATACAGTCATTCACAAAAAAGAGACTTCACATACGGTCTCTGATGAGCTTTTACATCTCAATTTCAGTTGTTCTACATCTTGACCAAACATTGAACCCCCTTAAAACGACACTGCACTGCGGAAAATGTGTTTTTGCTCTTCTCCCAACAGTTGTATTGACAGATGGTTCATCCATTCACATGTCTTTTACTTTGAATGGACCATCTTCTCAAATGGTTCTTCGGTAACTGGTAACAAAACAGTTGGTATGGCAGGTAAGTACAGTGGTGCGTTGGGCACATCTGTTCATGTTGTTATGCTAACATGCTGATGTGTGGAGGCCATGATGTCTGCTGTTTGCCATTAGAAATGATCCTCCGGGGAACATGACTGTTTACAAAATTGAATGGCAATCCATTTGACAGTCATTCAGTTGTCAAAATGATGTCAGTCGGCTGCCTCTTAGCAGCATGGTTAGATAACTTATGCCTTTCTTAATTTTGCTTAATGACCCTAGTGCATTGAGACTCAATCCACCTGTTGTTAATTCTTAACCCAGTTTAGACAATATTGACCTCACTTTACCACAGGTCAGATATTATTGAGGAATTATCAAGTTTGCCTGAACAAATCCTTTCCCTCCCCGTATTTTCAGCCTAACAAAGTGCTTTAAGATCACCTTGCTGTCCCTCGTTTTCACCTGTTCGCTGCGCAGCCAGTTTCCCCTTTTCCAATCACATTGTTTGGTTCCGTTTCGGTTTGCTCGTACTAAAGCTGTGGCTCATGAGCATATTGTACACTATCACTGTGTTGAAATGCCAACTCGATTCCATTATCAAATGTTTTAGTGCGCTGAAAGTTCTTACTGTTTGGTCTTTAGACTTTGTTTATATCAACTACAATCTAAGTGTTGGGCTTTTCTCTACCAGAAATATTTGGTTGAAACTGTTAATGTAAGTAAGATTAGGAGTGGACTGCATTGCATTCCTAAATGTTGATATCATTTACTCGGAAAACTAACAGATAGGACAGGGTTGTTATGCTCAAAGTAGGAGATAAGATATTTGATAAGTAGCACATTCAGGCAGGCGAGGACATCAGACCAGCGTGGGATTCTCTGCTCCGAGTGTGGGAAATTCAAAGAAACCAAATGATGGTAACTGTGGCTGCGTGTCAGAACTCAACTCCATTCATCAAGGATGACCAGGTCATGAAATGTCTAAATCTAAAAAAATAATTTTCTCAGAAATCTGTGACTGAGTTCGTAAGCGGAACTTTCAGATTTTTGTGTGTGTGTGTGTGTGTGTGTGTGTGTGTGTGTGTGTGTGTGTGTGTGTGTGTGTGTGTGTGTGTGTGTGTGTGTGTGTGTGTGTGTGTGTGTGTGTGTGTGTGTGTGTGTGTGTGTGTGTGTGTGTGTGTGTGTGTGTGTGTGTGGTGAAGCAGTGACAACATCACAGATACAGGAAGTGGCAGGGCTATCTGGTGATGTTGGTTTCCTTTTGTGGTTTCTCACTTCAACTTCAACTTTTTCATCTTCTCTCTGGTAGAAGAAGATATTTCACCGTTAAAATAAAAAATACGCCAAGGTAATCATTCTTATGCACGGGTTCAGAAGTGTCAGCCACTAAATTAATTCAAGGGATCAAAAGTGTAGTATAATAACTACAACTTGCAGATTAATGAAGATGTGTCACACGCACAATATTTGCCTTTGAAATTTTGTGGGGTAAAGACATAAAGCAGCCAGTAAAGTACTTTCCACCACTACTTCTCTAAATGGAGTTTCCTTTTATGTTTTAAAGGAATCCAATATTTCAAGAAACATGTGTAACATATGTGGTTAATTTGGTGGTGAGTTAAAAGGTGTTTCAGTTTGGTTTTGCAATAAATAAATAAAAATGTTTTTAAAACACCAGTTATCAGCTGTTCTTTCATTACTCACACACTACAATTTCAGTCCTGGTGACTAATGTGTTTATAAGAAGCTACTGTTCTTCACCCTGTCTGCCTACATGACTAACCAAACCACAGCTATTTCTGCAGATGCCATCACCACAGTATTCCTGACATTTCACATAGCGGCCTGATATTTTGTGACCTTTCAGTGTCACTGACACATGTGTGTTAATAAAGAGTTAGTGTTTACATAGATGGAGCCCTCATTTACACACACACACACACACACACACACACACACACCATTAACCCTTAGCAACCCACAAAGGAAACCAGCATTGACTGGTTCCTCGTGTCCACAGAAAGGCAGGAACCCTGTAGTGACCCATGTTATCAGTTGGGTAGGACTGCAGACAATGGCTCTAACATCCCCCACATACATATAGGATGTGTGTGTCTTTGGTTACTGCCTTAAAAGGTCATCACTGTATTTTAGTATATTGCCTTATTTTTCTTGGGAAAAAGAAAAAAGAATCTGTCACTGGGCTGAGAAACTTCCTGTTGCTCATTGCAGTTTCCTGTGTTTTAAAATGCAGACTCTTGAATTTGTGTCTTGAAAACTGAACTCTTTGTCAAAGTTGATTTGTATTGGTAAAAAAGTTTTGTCTAATGCCGATGGCTCATTTATAGATCACTGATACGGCCATATTACAGACAAACTACCTCCTTATCTATGCTCTCTGCCGACTTCAAAAAGTAATTTGTGTATGGATGACTGTGTTTGCTTCATGAACCTATCAGGATACAGTGCCGATGTGTGTGTGTGTGTTGTTGGATAGTGGGACTCGGCAATAACGTGTGGCATTCAGCACTTGCAGGCTAGGACTGAATATGGAGATGGTTTGACAGCACAGAGAATCCTCCTCTCCCACAGTTTGAGGAAGACACATTTGTGATAAATGGATAACTGAAATAACCTGTATTATATTGGGGATTGTTTTATATAAAATAACATGTTTAATCTAAAACGTTTTTTTGTTCAATATTAATTGTAATGTACCACTATTTATACACTGATTGCAGATGCTAGAATGCAAGGTTCCACCTGACCGTATATCTGAACTAATTCAAAAACAGGTACATATTGCTATTTTTAAGGTATTTCTATGCATTATTATTTTACATATATCATTTCATATTGATTGTATCGTTAATATGCAAACAAATGCATTTAGGTAATCATTTTCTTAAAATACAATAATTGGTTTGTTGAGCATTAATGTGGTAAAAATAAATAATTAATTGACACATATTGACGTAATCCTGCTTACTGCACTAAGTACTTTTCGTTAACCCGACATCCCATCCTCATTTAGTACAGCAGCGTCATGAATCACATTTACTGGGCCTCAAACAGTTAAGCGTTTTGCGCGTGCCCGGCCATGCATCCAGTGTATCGGGAGCGCGCAGAGGCGCACCGGGAACGCAGAATCAGATCAGCCGGTCGGTCGGTGAGCAGAGACACAGGCCGCCGAGAGCACCGGCATTGAACGGCACAACTGAGCCTTTTGCTTCCAGCGACGGTTGCTTCTCTCGCGGACTAACGTTACTGGAAGTTGTATGCAACAGTTCAGACGCACGGAGAGAGGGTCAGACAAGCTGTCCACCATGTCAGGGAGCAGGGAGGAGGAGAGGAGGAAACTGGCCGACATCATCAACCACTGGAACGCCAACCGGCTCGACCTGTTCGAGATCAGCCGGCCCACAGAGGTAGGGGACCACCCCGGAGTAGCAAGAGACACCGCGGACCAACAGGCCCTCTCGTGGGGGGAGGGGGGGGATGGGAGACCGTAAAGCTACCACTGGACAAGACTTGGCTTCAGCATGTTGAAAGCTGTTGTGGGCAGTGTGGTTTCCCCGTACGTGCATGGAGAGAATGAACGCCAAACTCCATTGAAATATCTGGTGATTTCCTAAATCGACATGTGTAAAGCATACGGCCTTTGTCATTAAATACATAATTGAGCGTCCGTGGCGATTCGACTTGCACATTAAATATTTGTCTGTCGATCAGCACAATGTTAAGGTAAATTCAATAAACAAAAACAATCAATTAACACTAACTTAACGTTAGGTAATTAGCTACTAGCTTCCGCCCACAACTGTGTTTAGCTTGAAACTTAGCCACAGCAGGCTAACGTTTAGAGAAATAACTCCCAAAGTTGACAGTTTACACAACCAGTTGGGGCTTTGTGCATAGTGTATTTACCAAACGGGAAGGGAATTCCAACGATTTATAGAACATCTCCCAGTATATTCTCTGTTATGTGCCAGTGTGCCATCAGACTGCCAGGTTTTGAATGGAGTTTGGTATGTTGTTATCTCCAGCGTAAGAGGGAACGGCACGTATCGGGGCTAGCTAACGTTAGCTCGTTAGCGAGACCCCGCCACTGTGTCGAATTGAAGGAACGAGTCGGCGGTGTTATGTCCAACACGTACAATTTCTATTTGACTAAAACACAAACCAAACCTGTGTTGAATGCGTGTGTACTGTAAACTATGCCGGTGTCAAGGCTCGCGTGTAGCGGGCTCGCAGCAGTGCCCGCAATGGCTGACAAAACCCCACCAACACGGCGAGGCGGTTTGATACGCACGGTGAAACGATACAGGTTGACGTCGTAGCAACACACCGGGCGTCAATGCTTATAGCAGGCAGAGCACCCAAAGCGCGGATGCTAACCAGCCTTACAAACCACAACACAATGTCCGTGAGCGTGTCACGTTGCCCTGCATTGTCTGGACACCAGCTAGCACGCTGCGAGCTGCTCGGCTTGTCCGGCAATACCCCCCCCCATGCAACGTAGTGGGGAGCAGTGCTTAAATTGAAAGGCCGATCTAGGCTAGGTGGGAGTTGTTTACTAATAACGTGACAGGAAACTCCTCCCTAAAAGGATTCAAGTAGCGAACTGCGAGGGCTCGGTGATTTCCCCGGTCTGTAAGGAGTTCGTCAATACTAATCCTTACTCATCAGCCGGTGCATCTCACGCCTAACTAGTTTTGATGTTGCGTCAGCTGCTGCTGCTTTTTTTTTTAAGGCGGACAGTCGACACACCCCCCCTCCCCCCTTCACCCCAGACCATCCTCTCCTTGAATAGGGGTGCAGTGGGGGTTGGGGGCACACGGTCCCCTCTCCTCGTCTTGAGCCGATTAATTTGATCAGGATTGAAGCTGGTCAGCCGTTGGCCAGGGTTGAGCATTGCCCGCGCACACACACACACACACACACACACACAGAGTTCCCCAGGCTGTAAATCTCTCACTGGACAAGCAGCGTTGCTGCTCCAGAGTAGAGTCCAGTGATTAAATGTAAGCAGATGCACCAGCCACACCCTGCCCCCTATGTCAGCTGCAGGAGCGCCCCCCCAGCTGCACAAGTGTCCTTCACCCTATCTCTACACCTCTGAAGAGAAGCTGGGCACCGGTCACGAAGCATTTGTAAAACATTCATACAGATCCGTGGTTGACATTGATTTTTTGATTTGATCTACCACACAATTTATTATTATTCATTTATTATCTGATAATTGACAACGTTTCACTTCTGTATTTCAGGCAAAACTGTCTTTCAGAGCGGTGAGATCATTCGTGTGATTAGATTAGTCATGGATGAGTGATTAGTCTGGAGCAAAGGTTCTCTAACTTTTTAATCTTGCTGCCCAAACTGAAGAAGTCCTGCTGTGGGATTTGTGGTGGGACCGTGGGGCTCGTTATAACGTAACAGGTACTTGTGTCACGTGGGGGACTAACCACAAGCAGACACATGGGGCCTATTGTTGTAGAATTAAATAAACAAAAGGCTTGAAACATGCAGTACAATGGATGTGCTGGAATTCCAATGCAATCACACTAACCGTTTGTTTTGTTTGGATTAAAAGATTGTGGCAATATTTACTTCACGGCATTTTTGTGTTTTCATATATTTAATCACTATTGCAGTCTCTGGTTCAATGCTACTATTAGGGGTGGGAATCTCTTGGCACCTCACGATTCGATTCGATTCCGATTCAGAGGTCAACGATTCGATTCTAAACCGATTATCGATTCTAAACTGATAAAACAATTATCCATGCATCTCGATTTTCTAAATTTTCTCAAATCTGAGTCCGCTACTCAGAGGTTGCTAATCACTTCCTACTTTATTTGATAATCAAAGAAAATCAACATCTCTAATTTTTTATAAGAGAAAAAAAAATCTTTGTCACAAATATGATTTTCTATCAACAATGCAAGAACCAATGCAGCTTGCATTTCAACACAATATGGAAGTAGCCTATGTTAAAAAAAAATTAAACAGATTAATTTTTCCTTTAAATTAAGAAAAAGCTGCTCTTAGTCTCAGACCGGTCCGTATTTGTAAAATACCGGAAAAAAGTCCAAATCTGTGAATATCTTACCAACTTTCAATACGGATCGACTTTTTGGAAAATTGAAATAATGAAGAAAGATATGCGCAGGCTCCTTCATAGTTCGGTAAAGTTGGCAAGATATTCAGACTGACGGATCGGTCTGCGAGCTGGACGCATTGCTCTTAATGTGCCGGAAATGATGGTTGTAGCTGGTTGTCATCTACGGTCCACTACGATTACCGAAGAGGGGCGTTTGTTTTTTGACAACGTTTTATCTCATAATTTTGACTTTCTATCCCCTTTCTGTAGTGCGGAAATGGGCTTCTATAGTTGTGTGAATGCATCACTCCAGCCAATCCAAAGACGGGGTTTGTAACCAATCAGGTGTGAAACAAGTACTCTATTTCCAAACCCTACTTGTGCGCGTGTTCATTCTAACATACACACTGCCTCTGCACCAACCTGCTCCTCAGAAAGCCTTAATGTTTGTATATAAGTCCATAATAAATCAAATTGTACAGGACAAGCAGACCGTGTCCATAGAAAAGTACTACCTGCATTGACTCACCGTGCAGTCTGGCAGCATGTAATCAGGGAGAGCACGTTATGAAGTGTCTGGCACAGTGCTGTGATGAGCAGGCCCATTTTTGGTCCCATATTACATGCAACTTTCTACTTATCAGGCACGTCTATATTATAATATGTGGATATTATAAGACTATATTCAAGCTCCTGGACTTGTCCGGAGTGCTGACCTAAGAAATTCCAACCCCCTATCCCCGCCTTTTTTTCTTGAGCAACTCAAGAGAGGCTTATGGTTTTAAAACGAGAACAGCAGCTTTTTCCCCGTCTAGAGCTGGATTGATTGTGCCTGAAAATAAAGCCTTTGTCACCATTAACTCAACTCCGCTGAACACTGAGCCCTCAAAATCTCTCCAGGCTGCTAAATATAATCTATATTGTATTCTTTTAGTTACTAACTTTGTCTACACCTACACTGTGGCTTGATTGTGTGTCAGCATGTAGTTTACAGATTAAGAAAAAGTATTGGTTTAAAATGTAAGACTTTTAAGCAACTAAAAGCCTGAAAGAGACTTTATATAACTTTTAGGTTTTTGCAAACCTGGAAATCTGTCTGCACGTTCTTTCTCTCGGTACGTGAATGCGACATGCGGGCAGACTCGGCGTGACATCAGTGGCCACTCCCTCCTTTCCCCTGTTGCATAGGAAGCAGGAAGCCGACAGGAAGTGTGTGCTGCATGGAGATTGTGGGTTTCCTGTGGTCGGATTAGAACGACTGGGTTGATTTCAAAGGGATGTGTGCATTTTATTTGATCAGCTATTTCCAGATTTCAGTGCTCCACAACAACTCTTCAGACGGCTATGTTTTGGTGCAGCAACCCATGTCAAGTTTCTAGCTATTCATTCACATTGTTGGTCTATATTTAGTTCTTGTTTAGGTTTATTGGCATTGTCCAGGACTATAATACCTCAGCTTAGGTTATTTCACCAAAGTCAAAGCAATGCATAATGTTTATAGAGCCAAAATTGATTTGCAACATTGCCCACACGTGCAATGGGATAGACACTTCTATATAAACACTGTCCAGTGTATTTTGCCACAATCATTACTGGCCTCACCATTCGTCTAGGGTTCCCTTGACTTCGATTGAACGCACAGCGATTTTTGATGTACTATCAGTATCTGTGACCCACCCCAAGTCCTTTCGCCAGTATCCTTAATACAAAAGGGTTATAATAAGGGTTTCACTCGGCAGCTGCAGACAGAGCACTTGTGGAATGCCTAAGGCATGTCACACTACATAAATGACTCTAGCGGCTAGTGGACTTTTCCTTTTAACGGATAGCTCTCCTACTCTTGGATTATATTATAATATTATATCTCCGGATAGGTACAACACCTTGACAATGGGTGTTTGACTTTGACTGAAAGGTCAGCGTCGGCCCGGCCTGTACCTGTTTGTGGAAGCAGCTGCTGGTGATAGTAGCTGCTTGTTTGGCAGCAGCACAGTGGAGGCCTGGACAGATTTGCTGGCCTCAGCCACAACTACAAGCACACGGGCACACACAAAAGCTGGCTGCTCTGTGCATTTATCTGTTTGCATTGTCCCTCTGTGTGTTCATCAGCAATGCCCTCCCTCCTTTTCTTCCCTCCCTTCTCCCCCTCTCATCATGTCATGCAGCCGTTAGCTGACTGTCGCTATGGTAACGCAGTGGCTGTGATGAACTCACCAAAAGAGGCCTTTCTCTCTGCCATGAACAGATATTCTGTAGTTGACAGCCTTATAAAAGGTGTGCGTGTGTGTGTCTTATTTTTAGTTGTATTTGAAGGTATTCGTGATG